CCCAGGCTTCCTGGACCATCTGTTTTGAGTATCTTTTGTACGGATTCAAAGATGAGACTTCCGATCGGACCGTCCCATTCTGCTGTTTGAAGCTGCTTTTGTGTATGTTTGTTTTCTTTTATTTGACTTTGGGTCCGACCCAGTGGTGCATGAGGAATACTCAAAGCTCAGTGCTCAATGCTCATTCCTGAAAGGTCTAGGTGATGAATCGGATGCTGGAGGTTCAAAGGTTTCATCTTGGGTTTTCTGTTTACTTTGGGGTGGCAGAGCAAGGATTCTCGCAATCATTCCTTGTGCTTCACTCTGGCATTTTCCCTGGAAGTGCTTATGGACCATATGGGATGTTGGGGATCGCCAGTCCTACATGCTGTCCCTGGAATAGCTGTCCTCTTACGCCAACCTGCTGCTTCGGCTTCCTTTGCATTGTTTTTGTCATCAGCTGTCCTCTTGACTCTGTTCTCTGGATTCAAAACTGACTGGCCTCAGAGCACCCTGGGGTGTGTTGGCCCCGTTTGCGCCCTGGCAACTACAATGATTTGGGCCCCCAGACTTGCTTTTCTCCTGTTTTGTCCTTCCTACTTTGGAGAGACTACCTGCTCGGTCATATAGTCTTACGTTCACATAATCTTGTGTGTGGATTTCTGAGCATGCGGTGATCCCAAGGAGAAAGAGCCAAGGATCTCTGTGGCCAGTAGAGATGTTGGGGTCAAGAAACTTCTACCTTCTTTGAGTGGGATTTGGGGCGGTCCTGTGCAGTGAGTTCCTACAGGCACATATGCCATGCACTGCTCTGAGTAGTTGTCTATATGGACTGTTGAGTTCTAAATCCTAGTGGTCATGAACTGTGGGGGTGCAGCGGTGAATGTGCAGTGGTTTTTGCTACACCCAGGGATAGTCTTTTGGATAGTACAAGTCTGTGTCCAGGTGATCCTCTCTACAGTGGTCACTGGACCAGTGGTGCTCGAATTGGCCGGGGGGTTACCAGGAAAGGCAGATACATCCAAGAACCTTCTGTATAACGTCCTCCCACTTTAGCAGATCCAGTTGCCTTTTGTGATTTTTGGGGCCCATCAGTCATGCGTGAGCAAGAAGGCTGGTTCATTCAGAGTGGAGAGGCCCAGCGACAATATAGGACCCTGGGACCTGGCCTCAGAGTAGTGGGAATGAGACTTAGATAGACTCTGACTCCCACCCTCTTCGTGTGCTGACTCAGGACACAGTGTCCTTCCATGATGTGGCTGTGAACTTCACCCCAGAGGAATGGTCATGACTGGAGGCCTCTCAGCGGAAGCTCTACAGGGACGTGATGCTGGAGACCTACCAGAATCTGCAGGCTGTCGGTGAGAGCAGTGTGGAGCCAAGCATGTCTGAACAGACCCGTGTTGGCTCCCTGGGGTTTGGCGGCAGCTGTGTGTCCAACAGTAGCTCTGTGACAGGCGTGCAGTAGCTCTGCCCTCCCTCGTTTTTTTTAGGGTTCATCTGTGGATACTCAGGACTTACTCTCAGCCTTGTCTTCAGGAATTACTCTTGTGGGGTCGCCGGACTCTATGGGGTGATTCAGATCAACCATTTTCGACTGTGTCCATGGGAAGATTCCTATCTGCCCAGTTATCGCTCAGGTCCCTTTAAATAGTTCCATCCATTGTTGGAAAAATTTACTTTGTGTACTACACAAAATTTTGTGTGTTTAATTGGTTTTGCTATTGCCTTTGTTTGGGGGCACAGTCCACAGTTCTCTTGGCTCTGTGCTAAAGGATGACTAATAAGAGTGTTCAGGGGCCATATGGAACCGTATCTTGAAACCTCTTGGCAAGTTAAATTGTCGTTGCCTCACCCCCAGTACTTTTGCACCAGTCACTCAACGGTTTTTGCATTTTCTTTTTTCCATAGGGATTAGGGATTATTCCTGCCTCTGTATTCAGGATCCACACTTGGCCTTACTCCAAGACCATATAGGATGCCTGGGATCAAACCCACATGTGTGTGCAGCACTTCTGTCTTATCTGCTGTACTATCTCTTTCCCACGACAGGGGATTTGATACCTTGTCTCTCAACTCATAAAACGCTGCCCTGTTTCAGTGCTTTGATTTACTTCTAATGGTTCTTGTGAGATTTCAGCAGGACTTAGGGTTTGCTTCTGGACTCTGCACTCAGGGATCGCTCCTGGCTGGCATGAGGGACCCTAGGAGATATCGGGTATCACAACTGGATTGTCCGTGAGAAACTCGTGCTGTGCTCTCTTTCTGGATACATTTTTAGCTTAAAAAAATAAGGGTCTCTTGTCACCCTTGGCCATTTCCAGATTTATTATGCACTTAGTTTTACTGAAATCCATGAAAAGTTCATGAGGGGCTCAGGAAACTCCATGTACTGCTGGGCCTAGAGAGACAGTACAGGGAGGAAAGTGATTTTCTTGCAAGCGGCGCACGTGGGTTAAATCCCCGGCAACCCATGTCATCCCCTAGCACCAGCAGCAGTGATTTCTGAATACAGAGTCAGGAGTCTCACCTGATCGTTTCCAGCTGAAACCCAAAACAAGACAAAAAACAAAAACATACTGTGCTAATCAACCCCCTGTAGGCCATACACAAGGCCAGGTGTAGAGTATTTGTGATATTTTCTTGGGTCTTACCTCTCGAATAACTAGAAATATGTGAAATTTTGGAAATGGACATTCTGTTCATGCTTTTCAGATATATGCCCACTTATATCAGGAAAACATGGGCATTTACCTGTCACATTTTCCCTGTGACTTATCCATGCCTCTGTCTCTGTTGGGGCAGGGCGCACTGCAATGAAGCCTGCAGTGATCTCCTGGCTGGAAGGAGGAGCTCTGAGGTCGGGTAAGAGAGGCGTGTGTGCGGGTGAGTGTCTGAGGACCCTTCCTGGATCAGGCCCTGTGCAGTGTATGGGTGCCCTGAGCATGTATGAAACACGCTGCTGAGACCGGGGCCTTGGTCTCCTGGATCCTGGGGTCTGTGCCGCACTCACGCTGCTCTTCATTCCCCTGGACTTTCAGTCACAGAATGATCCTGTAATTTGCTTCCATGGCTTTCGAATAAGTAAGACCATAACAGAGATAGTTTGGATCTAAACGATAGTACAGCAGGGAGCGCCTTGCAGTGCCTGAATGTGACCTGTTCAATAATCTGCTCAATAACCTGGTTCCCCGAATATCACCAGGTCTGCTCAAAAACAAAAACATAACCTAGTGTAGAATTGCCAAGATCCTCACAGTTTTCCACTATCCGAATCTTTTGTTTAGTGTGGGACTCTTTGGACTTTGAGAACCACAGAGATGTACTCTTAACCACATGGCATCATTTTGCTACGTATTGTGACATGTGTGACGTGTGAATTGCATGTTCTCTTCAGTTTCAGAACTGAAACCGCAACTTCAAGATTTGGCATTACAGCACTTTGATTTGGGAATGGGGTCAGCAAGTACGAGTGAGTTGGTAAGATTCGCTAATTCAGAATAAATATTATTATGCCAGCAGGAGTGGACCAAGTATGTGATTGTAAAGGTGGCAGGCTGGGATTGGCAGGGAGAAATTTCAAAGCCTGATGCTTGGAGTAGAGGACTCTTAGCTTTGCTAGGTGCTGAAATCAACCATGTATAAAAAATACTGTGATTTTTGATTGGCTTGACAGTGGTCATTGTTTAGAAAGCTAATTTGTGCGCCCTAGAGATGGTGCAGTGAGAAATATACTTGCTTTGCACAGGGATGGATGGTCCTTATCCAGCACTCCTTATGGACACCATAGACCCACAGAACTGATCCTAGACACTGCATGGTGTGCCCCTCCACCCACCCAACCACCAATAAATAGAAACTACAAAACAGAAAGAAGAAAAAACTTCATTGATCCTGAAAGGCATCACTTGTGGTGAGAGCTTTGCAATGGCCACGTGGTCTGTCTCAGCTGCGTTACGATGCAGCGTGGTCTTCACCCCTGCATCACAGGTTCCACTCTGAGCTTTAACCAAACCCACTGTGGATGTATTTCATTTTCTCTTGAAATGGATGTGTCCGTTTTCTATAGAAGGAATTATTTCTAGTTGTATTCTTTCATTAATTTAAAAGGGGGAAACTCACAGAATTTATTCTCTATCCATCAATTTTGTGCATCCAACTTACGGTAACATGAAGTCATTCAATAGTAAGACAATTCATATTTCAGTAATTGCATTTGTGAGGTGCATATGTGTGAAACCACATCTGAAGGGCTCAGTTTTTTTGACAGGAAGACTCAGTGAATAAGTCAATAATTAGAATCCTCTGTTGTTCCACAGGAAAGCTGCCACCCCGAGTGGAATGTCTCTGATCCTGCACTGTATGATGTCTCGAGTGATCAATCCTGCCTTCCGCCCCATGAGGACGACGAGACAGGTGGGATGTCTTCTGAGGGTGATCAGAATGGTGAGAGCTACCTCACTCTGAAGAAGCCCTCTCCTGGAAAAAGTTCCTTGGAGTGTGTTATTCTCAGTTCACAGACACAAAATTCCCCAATGGGGCACCTGCTAGGGAGAGAAGCACTGTTTATAGTGAGTCCCTCACAGCAACATACCCTCAACCACAATCACCGTGAGCAGAACCCGTCTACGTGTAAGGAATGTGGGGGAGCCTCCCCATGTTCTCAGCACTGTGGTGTTCCCTTAGAAAACCACAGTGGACAGAATCCCCAGAAAAGTCACCCCCAAGAACAAAGTGTGAGTCAAGGGTTACTCCATCATGACCATATGAATATAAATTCAGGAGCGAAACCTGTTGCATGTGAAGCATGTGGGAAGGCCTTCGATCAATCATCACATCTTATTATGCATAGGAGAATTCATACAAGAGAGAAACCTCATGAATGTCAGACATGTGGGAAGGCCTTTTTTCAGACCTCTAGTCTTAATAGACCTATGAAAACTCATAGTGGAGAGAAGCCTTATATATGTCAGGAGTGTGCTGATGACTTTATTCGATCCTCAGGCCTCAGTGTACATAGAAGTATTCACACTGGAGAGAAACCGTATATATGTAAGGAATGTGGGAAGGCCTTTGCGAAAGCCTCAAATCTTAGTGGACATAGAAGAATTCACACTGGAGAGAAACTTTATATATGTAAGGAATGTGGAAAGGCCTTTGCTAGAGCTTCAAGACTTACTGAACATAGGAGAATACACACTGGAGAGAAACCGTATATATGTAAGGAATGTGGGAAGTCCTTTGCTGAAGCCTGAAGCCTTCGTGTACATAGGAGAATTCACACTGGAGAGAAACCATATATATGTAAGGAATGTGGGAAGGCCTTTTCGAAAGCCTCAAGCCTTAATGTACATAGGAAAATTCACACTGGAGAGACACCGTATATATGTAAGGAATGTGGCAAGGCCTTTGCTGGAGCCTCAAACCTTCGTGTACATAGGAGAATTCACACTGGAGAGAAACCGTATATATGTAAGGAATGTGGGAAGGCCTTTGCTACAGCCTCAAGCCTTAATGTACATAGGAGAATTCACACTGGAGAGAAACCGTATATATGTAAGGAATGTGGAAAGGCCTTTGCTACAGCCTCAAGCCTTAATGTACATAGGAGAATACGCACTGGAGAGAAACCGTATATATGTAAGGAATGTGGGAAGTCCTTTGCTGAAGCCTCAAGCCTTCGTGTACATAGGAGAATTCACACTGGAGAGAAACCGTATATATGTAAGGAATGTGGGAAGGCCTTTTCGAAAGCCTCAAGCCTTAATGTACATAGGAAAATTCACACTGGAGAGAAACCGTATATATGTAAGGAATGTGGAAAGGCCTTTGCTTTGGCCTCAAGACTTAGTGTACATAGGAGAATTCACACTGGAGAGAAACCACAATATATGTAAGGAATGTGGGAAGTCCTTTGCTGAAGCCTGAAACCTTGTGTACATAGGAGAATTCACACTGGAGAGAAACCATATATATGTAAGGAATGTGGAAAGGCCTTTACTTCATCCTCGCAATTGACTATACATAGGAGAATTCACAGTGGAGAGAAACTGTATATATGCAAGGAATGTGGGAAGTCCTTTGCTGAAGCCTGCTGATTTTCACTCGGGCTGCACCTATGCCAGTATTCTTGTGCTTGGAATTGCTTGTATGTTAACTTGTAAATAATGGGTCATGGTGATGAAAATAAGGAGGAAGGTGACTCAATAAACAGGTACAGAAATACCCTCCTGCTCAGAGCTGCCATGGCTCACTACTCTGTTATTGTTTGCTATGCTTCTGGCTTGGCCCAGAGGGGCTGGTTAGCGGGAATTATGGCAGAAATCAACCAAGATGCAGCAATGAATACTTTGAAAATGGAAAAATAGGTAATCCTTCATTCTTCAGTATTTCCTGTGTTAGGATTTGGGATGCTTGAGCACCTGCAAATCCTGGTTTTGCAACTTGAGCATAGGTCAAGCCAGCTTGTATAGTGCATTCACGCTTGTTCCTTACTTGTTCTGGATATCCAGGCTTTAGTGGATGTGGAGCTTTTGAGGGGTGCATTGTGTGCTGTTCTGTCGCTCAGGTGTCATGGGTGAGGGTGCATTATCCTGAGGGCCCCTGCAGCCACCATCGATCCAGGTCCAAGACGGCACTGGAGGTTGGGCACATGGACTTCAGGCCTTGGTGTGAGGAGCCTGCAAAGAGTGGGGGTCTTGGTCATCTCGTTCCTCCCTACCTGAGACTGTGAAGGACCCTGTTTGGAGTCTTTGGACTGGACATAACACTTATTGAAACTCCAGATATGTTCACTGGCAGCCCCAAAGGAAAGGGCACTTTTGCCGTCAGTCATTTTCATTGGCTTCAGTGCTGGGTTTCACACTTTGGGGCGTGTTTAGACAAGTGAGAGGTATATGCCTTGAAAATTTACTCTTTGGATTATGTATTTTTTTTTTTTGCTTTTTGTGTCACACTCCACGTTTCACATGGGTTTCTCCTAACTTATACACTCAGGAATCATCAGAGAACCATGATTGTTACTGGTTTTTGGCATATTGAATACACCATGGGGAGTTTGCCAGACTGCGGTGTGGGCAGGATACTTCTGGTAGCCTGCCAGTTTTTCCAGATTAAGACTAAATAATAAAATTTCGTGTGACTGTGCACTTCCCAGATCACGGTTTTATAGTCTTTGGGTCTTGGCCATTGATGGGATTATACGGCACCGGGGACAGTTGGTGGGTGTAACGCCTACATACTGGAAGCTGGGAGATATGGGTGGAGGAGGCCCAGTCCCAATACGAGCAGCTTGGAGATCTCAGCCCCAGGTCCTGCACACCTGGGTTTCTCTGCCAGTTCCTTCATGCGTGAGGCTCTTCCGAACTTGTGGAGAGTGGTCTTAAGCATGGCTGTGGCTCGAACCAGAGGTCTTGAGCTGCCGGGGCTCTGCTCGGGGTTGGGAGGGAAACTTAACACACCCTCCTCCAAAAGGCACCAGTGAGAAAGCCAGACACGGAGGTAGGAGACTGCCTGTTTTCTTTCAGGAGCAGGGTTTTTTAGTCTCTGAGTCTTGGCCATTGATGGGATTACACAGCACCAGGGGCAGTTGGTGGGTGTAACGCCTATATACTGGAAGATAGGGGATCTGGGTGGAGGAAGACCATCTCTTTTCTCAGTCTCCTTCATTCCCCCTGTCTCCCTTAAGCTGCTCTTTTTCTTCTCTCACCACGACCCCAATCCACGCCTCACCACGGGAAGCGCAATGAAAAATGATTTTCTAGACTTCCCCATTACCTGCAGCCCATGAAGAAAAAGCAGCCCTAAAGGTGTGTTACTCCTCTCCTTCGACCAGCAACTGAATTGACATATTTAGTTTTACTTCCTAAAGATTACCATTCTGTATGGACATAGTAATAGACACTTTTAGACTTGTTGGTGACTCTCCTGGGGACTTATCTCCACAGATTCAGACTCAGGCCAGATCAATCACTCCCAATCCCAGCAGCATCCAAGTCTAGTTATTACTTTTTGATTCATGACAAAATTTGTCCATGACCAGGCTTTATAGATAAGCATTATGGTACTTTGGCCAGGCCCATTTCGATGCCAGCGTAGCTAGCTCACCACTTGCCCTGGGTCCGTCTAGTCCCGCATCGGACCCTTCTTTATGAGATTGAGGAAGTAAGGGCAGCTGAGGCTTCAGTCAAGACAGCAGATGTCCAGGAGGTAATATTATCTGGAGACCAACTCTCAAGCTCAGGCTTTTCTTTGTAACTGTCTTCCTGTATCCATACAAAAAGCAATTGCTCTGAAATAGCTAACCATGCAAAAGACATTAAGGAGAAGAGAAAGACAATATTTACAAGTCAAAGTCTGATCAGGAGACAAAGGTAATTGAAAGGTTATGGGCAATCAAGAAACATAAGATCTCACCTGCCAGGGAGCAAGGGCAGACCACTATTATACTACAATACCTGGTGATCCTCAGTGGTTTCTCTTGGCTCTTCACTCAGGTATTATTTCTGATGGTGTTCCTGGAAACTACAGGATCCTGGGGATTGAACCTAGGCTGGCCATGTGCAAACAACACCTTACCCAGATCTACAGTTGCTCTGGTCTCAGTTGGAGAGTTTAGATACATGTAACTGTGCACAGAATGTTGTTTGAAAGGATAGAAGGGGCGCCTTGATGAAATCTTTTCTAAGTGGGAATATGGGTCAGGTCCCAAGATCTCCACATTCCAGGAGACCATTCCGTTTACCTGTGATTTCTCACAAGGATAGTCACATTCCTGGATCCCACCCATGTTACTTTACTAATAATAGAGGTAAAAAAGGAAACATTTACGATTGGATAAAGGAAAATTCCATCCATCTATTAGTCAGATGGTGCTCAGGGGACCCTTTGGAATTCTGGACATTGTACCTAGATTGACTGCATGCAGCGCACTGTACTATCGTGATACTCTCAGTTTGAAATCATGTTTCTGAAACTGCCTCCTGGGGTTTTCTTTGAAGCTGAGAGTCCACTGCTAGCGTGTTGTCAAGGGGTAGAGCGTTGGCCAGACCTTGCTCTCTGATGTTCTTACCAGCCTTTGTTCCTCTTCCATGTCTCCAACTCTCTGGGTTTCTACTAAGCCAGTTCCTCTCTGAATCCCCAGGGTTGGCTTCGGAGTCACTGCTTTCATCCCCATCTGGATTTATTATTTCCCCAAGAAACTCATTGTCCCGTGCCCTACCAGCTACCTACCTAAAGAACTTAATTTCTTTTGACAGGAAAACTCTCATGGCATAGACTAATGAGTGCAATCCTCTGTTCTTCTACATGGCAGTAGCCAGCCCTGGTGGAATGTCTCTTCCTGCACACTGTGATAAAGGCTCAAGTGAGCAATTTGGCCCTCATCCCCACAGGGATGCCGAGACAGGTGGGATGTGTTCTGAGGGTGATCAGAAGATCACTCTTCCCATGTCTTCAGCACCATCACTTTCCCATAGAAGCCCATATTGGACAGAATTCCCAGAAATGTAAGCACTGAGGACAAACTTTTGAGTCCAGCATGACCCCGGTGGGACTATGTGAACATCTACACAGGCGAGAAACTGTTTAAGGACTGTGGGAAGGCCTTTGATGGATCCTCATACCTTATACATAGGAGATTTCCTACTGGAGAGTCCGTATGCATGTAAGCAATGTGCTGTGGCCTTTCTCTGACTCATACATCTTAGTATGCACAGAAAAAGTCACACTGGAAAGAAACCATATGCATATACAGAGTGAAAGTCTTTGCTTATTCCACAAGCCTTAATACACAGAAAAACTCACACTGGAACAATGGAGAGATAACTTATATTTGGGAGCAATGTAGGAAGGCCTTTGCTTCTTCCTGAAGTCTTAGTTTTCATAAATTCTGTTTTGTAGAAAACCCTTATATATGTGAGGTTGGTGGAAAGGCCTTTCACCTCAGGTCTTTCTGAGCTTAGGAATGTTCATACAGGTGAATGAAACACTATTTGTGTCACTACTATGGGAGGGTCTTCACTTACTATTCAAACTTTTTTGTCCAAAAGAAAACGCACATTGCAGTGAATCCATGTATATATGTAAGGAGTGTGGCAAGGCCTTTGCTTATTTCACAATCCTTTTGTGACACTGAAATTTTGATATAGGAGACAAACCTTACGTTTGTTATGACTTTTGCAAAGCCTTCACTTTCCCCTAACTCCTTATTAAACATAGGAAAATTCATTCTCGAAGAAGACATATGTAGGGGTGTGGGAAGATTTTTACTCAATCCTCAAGCTTTGGTGTGTGAGAAAAATTTATCCTGGATTGAGGCCTTATATATGAAATGACTGCAGGAAGATTTTGATGCAATTGGGATAGCTTTCTGAACAGGAAAATTCACAGTGGAGAGAAACCTCATAAGTGTAAGGAATGTGGAAAGGTGTTCAGTTTGTCTCCAGTCCTTACTGCGCATGAGAAAAGTCATTTTGCAGTGAAAAATTACATCTGTCAGGAGTTTGGGAAGGACTTTCCTGGATCCTCGGGCCTTATGCATAGGAGAATTCACACTGGACAGAAGCTATATATAAATAGACATATTTATATATGTAAGAATATATGTATATTTATGTAAGAACGTGGAAAGTGAATTATTCTCACCTGCAACTTTAAAGACAATCCTGGAGAAAATCCTGTAGGTAAGGAATATAGGAAAGCTTTCATGTTCCCTCAAGCTTTAGTAAATATAAAAGTTATGTTGGATCAATCACTTCCATGATAACAAAGGCCGGCGTCAGAACAGGGCCTTTAG